TTCTTGCGAAATCATGACTCTCGGTTTTATTACGTTCTTGAAATATGTTTGGCTTACGATTAGCCTCGAGAATCAAGGGGCAACTTGTAGGGCGGCAGCGGCACGAGAATTCTCAGCGCCACGAAAACGCCGCGGCAGGGTGGGCGCGGATTCGCCAGAAGCGGTTGCGGAGCTTGTTTGCGATGAGTTCGACCGAGGCCTAAAGCTCTTTACACATGGTGGATTCCGCTGGTGGGGTAGGGAGCCCTTCGGCGTCGATTCAAAGATACAGACGCGGCGAAATCGGGTCAGGGGTCCTCGACACGAGGCCTCCCCCACGGACATAAATGAGGTTCCTCCTTTCGATGCCCGACGACTTCGAGAACTTCGGCGGCCGATTTCGCACGTCGACTCGTCACAGCTTTGAATATCGAATAACGAATTTGTGCATCACACAATAATGCTTTGAAAAATCCGAGGGTAAATTCTAAAATAGAAGATATTTTTAGAAGTATCTTTCGAGCGATATCATCATTTGATGGGTCGCACAATAAAAAGTGGCTCAATATACATAAGTAATACGTGTAAAGAAGTCGAACGTTTTTCTGATATGTGCTGAAGTGTAATTATTATAATAATAATTGTAACAGTAATTATTAATTATTGTTATAATTTATTTAGATAAAACTTAGTTATACATACATATATATAACATTAATTTGAATTAATGTAATCATTATGTATTCATTAACAACTTTTTCAAATAATGTGATCATTCATGCGCGCACATGTATTTAAAAATCCAAATTTCTCCATCTATTTTTCATTTTCCTCGCGCATTTATAGTTAACCACAGTTAAAGACGAAATTTAATTATAGCCAGTGGGATAGATGTAATTAAGCGAAAAAAAAACGATCAAAGGATAAAAATAATTTGCCGATCGCCCTTTGCCGTACTACGTTATATTTCGATTATGATCGCCTTCTTCTTGGGAAAGTTTAGCAGCTGGCCGATACTCGAATTCTCGAAAAAGAGTGTTAAGCAAAGCCCTGTAGTACTTAGTAAAGGGTCGAGTGGATCTCGACTATGCTTGAAGACTTCTTAAACGCTCGCTAACTATTTTTCGCGGTCGGGGGCGATTGTTGGAGGCGCGCTCGAGACGTATTTCCTGTAGAAATGCAATCGTAGAGTTCGACGTTTATCTATTTTATTGCTCTCGCTCGATGCTGATTGAACATGCGTATAAAAGGGATGAGAAAAAAGGAACAAGCAAAAAAAAGGGAAACGGAATAAAAGATAAAAGGAGGCAAATTTAAAAAATTAATGAAACAATCGGGAACCCCTGCCACTCTTGTAAAATTACGCAATCACGATACTGCACGGTAAACGACAGCGGAAAAGTACGATATTTTATTTAGAGGCAGCATATTTCTGCAGCTGGAGAGCACCGTGTTTAGAACAACACGGTGGAATAAACGCGACACACACGACGAGTGGTGTACGCGGGATATAATAACAGTCGCTATATAAAATATACCGGGAGAAGTTGTCGTCGGCATATCCGCCGTCTATTCCCGTCCGCGGCAGTTGGAGTATCAGGCCGCTTTATCTCGTCGCGACCCGGAGAGAAGAAACGCGCGCGCGACAGTTACCTACCTTATTATTTATTACTACATAAAAGGTTACATACGCGGCGACGAGCGCGGCGTGCGTTTCATCTCAGATAGAAAATTTTTCATTTCCAGATACGGGAAGAGAGAAAGAGAGAGATCTCTTTTCGCGATAATTTTCTCTGAAGGATTTTTTTTTTTAATTTCGTAGCCTAGGTTTTTATTGAGATTTGGTCCAATTTCATTTTCTATCACCTCTTTCAACCTCCTTATTTTGTATCACTCTTGAGATGTGTAATTCATTTTCTACATTTGAAACGTGCAGTATTGGAGAAGATATCTATTATCGATAACTTTCAATCTTAACTTTCCTATTTGGATCTTAACTTTTCTATCTGAAGTAGAAGGAAAAAAAATTTGTAATCTACCAATAGTCTTTGCATTTGCCGACATCGTACAGCTGCGACGTAAGATTCGTGATAAGCTTCAGTGGAAACGTGGTTATGTAAATTACATTGGACACAAAAAATTGTCATGTGCGCGTAAGCTGCTAACGGCGAATCGTTTTTCGATCACCAAATAATCGACACGGCAGCTCGCAGTTCGTCGCTTCTGGCACCTCAATTTGCCTTCTACGACCGATCGCAAAAATTTTATTTCCGACGATTCTCATCGTTTTTCCCCAAATGTACGCTCGCCTCGATTAAAGTGAAATATTTGTTCGCATATCGATAAAGTTCCGTTCAAATGACTCTTTGGATAAAAAATTTTTTTTTTTTAATTACATAAAGAAAAAACAAGTTATTGGCAATATTTTAGATTATAAAACAGTAACAACCTGCTTGTAAAAAGAACTGGTGCTCGTTAAATAATATTTTTGATAAAAATAAAATGTTAATTTGTATTAGTAAAAATCATTTTGATGATTTTACGAGCATGTATTAATTATAGACAATATATCTTAATGTAAAATAGTATTTAAATTAATATAAATCACCAATAAAAAAAAAAGCAATTGTAATTGCTCGAATGATAAGTTGTGACAATTAATGTTTAAAGAAAAATGTGAAATACATGAGAAATTCTCTCTTGTTACCAATTTTACAGTTCATTTAATAAAGCTTCGCGAGAGCTAGATTGCTTTACACTCGAGACGAAGATAGAGCCAAACTGGCGCAATCGAAAAGCGTGGATGTGAGTCAAAGATCTTGTCGAAATGCAAACGTTTCGAGTGGATTCGCTTTCAACAAGTGGTTCGGGCCATTAGTCACACTGAAAGCTCGCGGAATATGGATAGCTCGCATTCTCCGCCGAGAAGCGTACGCCTCGTTAAATCGAGTTACTATCGTTGTTTCTCACGATCGGGGAAACAATTCACAAATTTTAATTCGGACAGTTTATGCAGCACTTCTTGGAAGGATATAACCATCTGCCCATTCTATTACAAATTTCGAGTTTAATTCTCCTTCGCGCAAGTGCTTGATAAAAAAAATCATCAGCTCCTATGAATGTTAAAGCTTCAGAAGTCGAATATCTTGACAATCAAGACACTAGATTTATATAAAGGGAAGATCTAGTTAGAATTAATAAATACAAAAAATTTTATTTATCTGATGTCTGTTTGCTTGGTATTTAATTTGCCAACGTTACTCAAATATTAAGCGTAAATAATCCAAAAGTATTACTGCTCTAATATTGAACGACTGAAACAACTGAAACAACTGTTTGTCTTTTTAGTTTCTCTTCCATGATTAAAGAAATATGGTATTCCAACGAGCATTACAGTAATTTCAAAATATATTGCAGGATTCCTTTGAAAAATACGTGTTTCCGGCAAAGGCAAGAACAATTCGGAAAAAAAAGATATATAGGATAGGGAAATGTTATACTATCTGCTTGTATCGCTGATTATAAAACGGTAAACGGTTACTTGAAACTATTTTATAATCGGGAAAGCGATTCGGGCTCTCTAAAAAGAAAAGGGCAGGCTTTGATGAAATACAGTAGATCGACCGCACGTGCATCAACTTGTTCTCGAGTTTAATTATTTTCGCGCGCACGCGAGTAGCACAACTTCCTGTACGTTTACGGGTGCGCGATGTCAATAGCGGGCGCCGTCAACCTTCGTGGTTGAAAGCCATTAATTTTAAAGCCACGTCGGAATGCTTATCGGACGAGCAAGCCACCGCGGGAGGGAGAGTTGGACAAGTATGAAACGGACACACCGGTAGCGGCATTCATGTTCGCAATGCGAACGAACGGTTCGGTTTAGAAGCAGTTACACAATCGTCGGAAAACGCAGTAGCGATTCCGAAGTAGCGTTAATAATAGTCGCGGAGCTGTACTACTCAATCTTTTCACACGCGTCGTCTGGTTAACTGAAATTATTATTGCGGTACGCTTGTATCAAGCACATTTTAGGCAATCGAATTTTACGCAAAGCGCATTTTAGGAAATCGTTTTAAAAATTTAGCATTTATTTTTCTTTTTTTTCGAGAGCAATAGTTAGCAGTATTTTCACTTTCCCACATTGAGTCTCTCTAAAGACAAAAGGGGTGCGTTGACACGTCTCACTTGACGCGTTGAACATTACACCCCCTCAATCTAAAATTACTGCGAAATAAAGTATAATAAAACGACGTTTATCCATCAAGTCCGATGAAAGCGCCACAGTCGCGAGCAATTTTCTAAATTGAAATCTGGGAAAATACGCCCGACAGGCTTCCTCTGCATATCCTAGTGCATATCCCATGTGCATCGGTTACGACCCGTCGCATCTCGGTTCGTGGTCAACGATGCGTGATCACATCGTGAGTACTGCGCGTCGAATTTTTCTCCGCAATCCCATCGAAATCAGAAGAAATTCGCGCGCGATGCCAATTTCGTTGCATTCGGGATTTAATCCCAAAGGTGCTGCCTTAGAAGATGACTTCTGTCCCAGATATGTGAGAAAAATATCCCGGATAATTCTTTAGTATTTACCGAATAAACGTCACAAAAGCGTTTAATAAACTCGATTATTCAGTTGCAAACAGTTGCGAAAAAAGAGCAAATGAATAGACAGGAATGAGACAGCAGATTGCAAATAACACATGGGACGTTTTTATAAAAACTGACTGAAAAATATGAATTTTTTAAAGAATTAATTTTGCAATTAACCGCAACTTTGCTAATTTTGAAAAAATATTTTGACTTGTTAGCTGATGCAAATTTATGAATATTAATTCGTGTCTATACCGACGGTTATATTTTCTTAAATACAGAATTATTAAATTCCAATTTCCTTGATCAATTCATTTGGCTAATTAATAAAATTGGATTTATAAATATTTACACGGTAATTCGGTATTCTCAAATTTTTAAATTTAAACATTTATTTTGTTCATTTTTTTAAACATCTTAAAACTCACCTTTGGACGCAGAATATTCCTTCCAAAAACTGATTCTGTAAGCAAAGAAAAATAAATTGTTAAAAAATATTAGAATGTTTTTAGAAGTTATATTATTCAAATATACTTATATATATATTACAAATATACAAATATAATTATATATATATATATATATATATATATATATATATAATTCTATATATTATTTAAATTGTCCGTTTGAACGTAAACTTTTCGTCTAATATTTTAATCAATAGATTATAAAAGAAGTAGATTATAAAAGAAATGCGATAGCATTAAAGTTAAGAATAACGAAAAAGAGAAAGATGTTGTATGAGGTCCAGATTACACAATAGGATTATGTCTGGATTACATATTTTGTTCGGGCCAGACCGATCGTAAAAATGCCAGAAGGAAACATTCTTCTAAGCCCCCGAAGGGGCTCAGTCCGTGGATCAAGTGGAGAAAAAAAAACCGTTCTGCGATTTGCTGGTAAAACAATGTTCTGCTTTATATCTCCGCGAACGGACAGGGGCGATCGCGCAGGCAGGTTGATTTTAGTGAGTGGGTTCTTCGAGAACGCCTTGAACAAATCGAGCGTGAGAGAGAGAGAGAGAGAGAGAGAGAGAGAGAGAGAGAGAGAAACGTTCGCTTCTTCAGACGAATTACACGGAAACAAGGTTGAACGCGCTGTCGTTGTCAAGTGCGATTGTCATGAAACGAATTGTTCCTATGGGAATCTTTTCTTATCGGTTCTATTCTTATATCTGAAAATTTGTTACTTTTTATTGATCTATAAGATAACTGTAGAATATTTCATGCTCCACGAATTGCATTTTTTAAATTTGAGCTACTTTTTTACATAATTATTTGTGTGCGTGTGGTTGGATATTACCATTTTCAACTTTCTAATACGAGGTATAAAATAACTTCGTAATAAAGCGTTTAAACAAAATTTTAATTAAGCGTTTGATTAAAATTTATTTTACATTATTAATCGGAATTGTCAGGTCTATCAAAATCTCTGAAAATTTATTCTCAAAAAGCCTTTTATTAGCGGTTTATAACGCTCTCATAATTCTACATTTTCTATCATGTATCTTTTTTGGAATAAATTCTACGGTAGAAAATTATTTTATGAAAAACTTTGTTTTTCCATATACCGCTTGTAAACGCTTGTTTAAGTGGGAGGTGTGTGTACGAGAGAATCGGTAAATCGATAAGTTACGTAAGAAAAACTCATCAAGTATATGACGTAAACTGTAATTATGAGCAATCATAGCGACGTTAATAAAAAGCGTCTTGCACGAGTAATCTGAAATTTCACGACAGTCTTACGCGAAGAGAGAAATTCATTTTGAATCGCTCGCCGGGCGAGGTCTTATAATTGCGTCTCGACAATTCAATCTAAATTAGCAGACGTCATAAACATTCCGGGAATCGTTACTGACAGCTTACATTTTGCCGCGAGAAATGAGATAAAAACTTTTTCACCGATAAAAAAATCAGTTCACAATCTAATAATAATGTAATTGCCATGATATTCTCCTTAGAATAAATTATGCCATATTAAAATGAGGCGCGAGATATTTCTCCTTATAAATCGCATAAATATATTATATATTCTGCGAAACGACAGCATAAGCGTCTGCTTTTAGTCAGAAGACTCTGGTATGAGAGAGCCCTTTATCTCTTGATGGATAAATCCGCAGACTCAACCGCACCAGTATGTGATTATTAAATCTATATTTATTTTCGCGGCCATATGTGGAAACATCATATTTTGTTGAAATTGCATTTTTGCGCAAAAATTAATTAAAAAAAAAAAAATAACGCCGTTTACACAACACATTTTTATAAACGAAATATTATATTAAATATACATTTTTCATTTATTCAGTTTAAAATTATATTTTTTAACACGGTAAATAGAAATAATTATATACATTGCAGTTTCTGCTCCCCGCTGTATATACGCATGCAATTCTCGTCGTATACCCACTCTTGAATGTCATCGATTAATCAGCGATAACGTTCAATTAACGCCACACCCTCGTTTCCTCGCCACGGTTTTCTCACATCGATTAGTATAGCTAGGCCCTGCCTATCAAGTTAGCAGAGCGTTAACCTTGCATCTCGCTTAAATTACGCTTTTATTGACACGTTCTCGCTGTTAACGCGGAAAACATGATGTGACACTTGCTTGATCGCCTATTACCAACGAGCGGAGAAGCGGGCACTTCTACTGAGTGTACGCGTGTAAATATAAACTCTGGTATTTAATGGTATCTAATGCGACGTGTGCAGAGATGGTCTTATCTTAAATTGTTGCACGTGCCCGTTACGTATACCGTCAGTCTGGTAACGTCTCAAGGTATAACATTGTTGGATTTTCCCGCGATTTAAACAATTAATAGGATTATCTTTGTGTAATCTCCTCCCTCTTTTTCCGCTCGTCCGTGTCGTCGGTCTTTATTAGACAAATAAGAGTTAGCAAATTTACAATAGTCTTCGCAGTTTACACACTAACGGTATAGCCGTGCGGGAATATGGATCTCACATTTTCGAGAGTATCATTTCAATTAACCAATAGCGAGAACTTCATTACATCGTTTGTTATATAGACGGATTCTATTATGCTTTCATGCTTGACACGAATGTGGAAACAGTGGATGTAAATCAATAAGCTTCGTTTACACACCCGATCACCAGTGCTATTCTCTATCACATGCGCGAGCGTGGCGCGTCCCTTTGATTAAAAAAAAACAAAAACAAAAAAAATCCCAACAATTAACCGATAAACAATAAACGACGTAACTTGATTCGAACACCCGCGTCGGCGGCGTTTTTTCCATCTCACAGAGGAGAGGGTTAAAAGGCCCTATTGATTTTCTCTCGTGGTCGCTGTTGCCAAGTTCGTATACTGGTAAGTTCGCATCGCGTCGCGCGCGAGTTTTCCGTCATTGTGTATTTCACGGCTGACCGACATGTATCAGCGTAGAAGCGAGATAGAGAGAAAGAGGGTCGGAAAAAGGAGAGAAAGAGGATGGCCGGGTAAGCTCTCGCGATGGCTATCGAAGGATGAGGGATCGAGGATCGCGCGACATGACGAGGGGATATGGATATACTTGTATAAACAGGCGGTAGGTGTGGCACTCAACGTACGGATTTCTCGGCCGTGTAATTATGTTTCCGATGACGCGAGGCACGCGTGCTCCGTTACAGCACGTATAACTGGTAATACATAAATTTAATGGATCACTGATTGCGCCCCAATATGTACGCCATCGGGCTTATCCATAGTTTCGCGAGGCGTGCGTGTGCTTACGGTGTCCGGTCTCCAAGATCTCCTTCGATCAATGTCTCATTCGATTGAGATTCTACTTGATCACCGAGGTGCTGGCTTGCTTGTGCTGTTCGTTTGCTCAGTATGTAATTCGAGGCGGACCAATCCTGCTGATTGCGCTGATGAACATTCGAGCCGTCGGCCGACCGATTGAATTCCGCGATTCTCCGATTTCAAAATGCGTATAGGAAAATGCGACTGTTTGAAAGTCATAATCGAGAATCTTATATTGTGGGAGAATTTTAAAAGTCAAACAGTGGAGGTACATTCGGACTGTAGATCGAAATATGTTGGCAGAAAATTCTACTTTGTAATAAAATTAAGCTATTGAAATCAATTCATTTTTCCTGCATAAAAATTTTCAAGCGGATTAACAAACGCGCAAATAGAGAGTGAAAGTTTATTTTTTCTTAAATTTTCAGGTACATATAATTTAACAAAACTTTGATTTATTTGAATTAGTTACAAAGATATTTAATAAAAATAGAATGTGTAAGAAACTGTATAGGAATATGATATTCAAAATTTTATTCTAAGTATATTGGTCTTTAAAATTAATTAAAGAATTGTACGCACTTGGAAAAGAGTAAAGGAAATTTAAGATTTTCTCTAAATAATTCACTCGTTTGATGCAAATAAAATGAGTGACTAGTGTACAAAAAAGAAAATAAAAAAATATTTTATTTGAACAGCAATTTCTAAGAATAAATATTCAGCATAGATTCCAAGTTGGTGATATAGTCTCTGGAAACTTTGGAAACGTAAAGCAGGAATTCATGTAAAGTCTTTTTTCTCGCGAAGAAAAAGCGGATCGATACGTCAATCTCACATCATGTTTTCTTTTTTTCGCCGCGAAAAGGAACTTCCTTCACGTATACGCAAAGAATGTTATCGTATCACGAAAGGTTATCGATGCAAGCCTCTCAAGAGAGAGCGTAACGTCGACCTATCGAAATTTCAATATATTCGCCCATTCAGTATAGAAACTTCGTAATTACAAGCCGATCGCAAGTTTCTGTGTGAGAGCAAATTGAAGAGATTTCCAGGAAATGCATAGCAGCGCTCTGATCAACGTATACACACAAAAATCTTTAATTTAATTAACGATCAATAGCACGTAACAGTAATCCTTATCTCGATACCTAAAACGAATGTTATTTTTCGAATAAAGATTTATTTAGGGTGTCCCAATTTGAGATTAACAGGAGAATCTATTTAAGGTACATTGCATTATAAATTATCTTCGATAATAGTAATTACTTGAGTCCGGAAACATGATACAAGAAGATTAAATTTATCGCAATGGAACTATACTTATAATGAAAATAATGAAACTTATTGTTGCTTATTTCGTCTCGTAGAGGAAGACGTCTTTTAATCGATTGAGAGACAGTAGGTGCCGGTGCTGCGAGAAAAATTGAAATTTAATTATTAAGACGTGTTAGATTAAAAGAGGGAGAAATAGAGACAGAGATTATCCTCACGTTTTCGTGTCTACATGCGGCCCGAAGTAAATGCGTTCATTGTCTTTGCAGTAGCCGTAAATTGGTAACACGGTACAATCCACGCATTTGACGGCCAAATACTTCGTTTCGTTCCTCACGATATCGGCGTACCATTGGCCCGCTTTAATGTGGCTGCACGCTGGACGCAGAAGAATGCACATGCGGAGAGTCGCGCGATAAGCATTAGCAAGTACCGTCCCACTTTACATTTCTATAGTTCATATTCGCGTACATAAGCACTAGATATGCCCATTTGAATTTCGATCTGACGACGTAACGTTCTACACGATCTTTTAATTACAATACGTATTCACACGAAAATTCGATTGATACGCTTTTAGCGTATAAAAAAATATTAAGGCACTGTTAGAACGTTTACGTTATTAAAACGCTTTACATTTGCATTATTGAAACATTTTACAAATGATCATATCTAGAGGCTAGGTGTAACGTGTACCATTACATTGAAACCAGAAAAATATTGAAGAACGGATGAAAAATTCGAATAAGTATTTCAAGATGTTGGCAAATTGAATTACCATGCACATTTCTTTGTGACGAACAGCAGCCAGGCTGCGGTGCCGCTCCAGTATTGGCGTAAACATTGAGACTGCCTACATTTATCGGGGTGGCGTATCCACCGCGATCCGTGTAAAGAGCGTCCGTGAAATGTGCGACTTTCGGATTAATTAGACAACCTTTGTACAGGTCAGAATAAAATGGACCTTCCCCGGGATCTAAGCCTGCATTCAATGACAAGTGTAATACATTGTATAGTCTAACTTCCATTATAAATTCTTACCAATAATTAATAAATTGACTTTTCCGATAATAGGGCCTTGATAAAACTTTTAATACATATTTACTTATCAATAATAAATATATACGTGACGTGACAATGACACATTTTTTTTATCTTTATTGAAAAACTAACACTATAGCTTTGGTTCCTACTTAAATATTATTTCGAATTAAAAGCTTCAGAGACTTGACGATTATTTTGAAGAAGATTATTTTCTTTACGAAGATTATTTCAGAGCAAAAATAATTACATAAACGATAAAATCATAATCATAAAAAAATTATGTGTCGCCGCATAGGAATGTTTTTTTAGTTCTTCTGTAAAATTAGTTAAAATTTGTCACGAAGAAATCTACCGATAACATTTTCAAATAGATTTCACAGAAAGTACAACAATTTCTAAAATCGATAAAATCGTAAACTAAAAATAGAGAGTTAATATAAATAAAATAAAGATTGAGGCGCAAGTGATTTTCTTATAACGTACCTGTGATGTGTAAAAAGGTAAAATTGCTATATGTTCCGACGCAACCTGCAATGTGAGCACCCATGGAATGTCCAACCAGATGCCATTTTGCCATTTCGTATCCTTTATTATTTAAAGAATTGAAAGTAGACGCGACTATCCGTCCGATTTTAGGTGTTCGATTACCAACTAACATTAAGTCGCCTTTTCCTAGTAGGGACCAGTCAAGTAATGCAATAACAGAGATATTTCGCCAACAATAAGCTAAAAAATTAAGATATCGTATCAATTATTTGCTATATTAGCACATTAATATTAATTTAGCTGTTTTTCTATCATTTCAAATGTTTGTTTCACATATACGTATGATATGCGGCTTTGAGCAAACACGGGAGTATCTTTAATAAATTACGATAAAATGATATACTTCAACAGGGATAATCGCAGATCTTTACAGCCTTTTGGGTTTAGCAAACTCACGGATCTGAGCTCAATACACTGTGGACACTCATATACATTTGCACATCATATACAACCGTCTACATACATTTTTGCAAATGACAATGCAATAAATATTTGAGAGAAAATAAAAACATCTGATTTGAGAGAAAATTAGATGAAAAATAAGATGAAGATATACATGTTTAATATTAGAAGGGAAGAAATAGGATTAAGTTCTATTCAAAGTGTTTTTGAATAAGAAATTGAACTGTAAATGATGTAGACAATAAAAGATTAAATATTTTGCTATCTAAGCCACAAGAAGCAAAGAATCATATTTATATAGTTGTCATTTACGCAAAAAGAAGAAAATTATTTTGCTGTTCATCTCGTGATATCGCGATACGTCGATGTTCGATGAATCAGCGTAAATTTGCGGTGTAATCTTGATACGAATAAGAATAAGATTAAGTAATTAAGTCTTTAAGTTTGTGTTGGACGTAGAGTAGGATAACGAAGGCTAATTTTTTATTTATATTGTTCAATTGAATAAATAAAATTGACACTAAATAAGGCTAATAAATGTAAGAGCTAGAAGAATTTATTATTATTGATACCTGATATAATGTCTGACGTGGGTATAACATTAATATTATTTCTGTATCCATGAAAGAAAACGGTAGTTTCATTCTTATCTTTTTTCACTTGATTATATGCACTTTGTATGCAATCCGTATCTTCTATCATGCACTGAATTGATGGCTCATTCGTGGCATCGCTAAAATATCATGCGAATTATGAAATATTTAATTCTTTTAGAATTGAAGCATAAAGAAATAAACAGTAAATTTTGGATATAAATAATTTAGCTCATTTCTCATGAATTATATCGGTTTCTTAACATTTCAAAAACATTTGCATGCACATATTTCTTATTAAAATGCTCATTTTATTAAATAGATATTAAAGCTCTTTAAAATCTAAGCTTACATCTTCTAATAATTAAAATAATTCTTAATAAAATAAAATCAAAAATATAAATAAATACCAGTCAGGAAAAGTTAGAAAAATCTTTCTTGGATCGAATTCTTCATCTGAAAAATTATTAAATTTAGTTTATCGTTTTATTTTATATCTTCAACATTTAAATTTTCAAATATTTTTCATTATATAACATAGCTGATAATAAACTTTTTCGGTAATTAGTGCCAAAAATGTAATATCTTAACAAGTGTGCAACGTTTTTACAAAGTTTTTTACAAAGTAATTTAATTTGAAAAATGTTAATCAAAAGCGCGCGCGCGCACGTACCACCCACACACACGTAACAACACTGTTCGTAATACCGAAGTCGATCGCGTTTAATTGGAATGTTACACGGCAATGCTATGTTGCGACAATATGTTTCAAATAGTTAGAAATGATTACGATATCAAATAGTATTGTCAAATAACATCAATCTTTTACTGTTACCCCTGTTACTTATCGCTGGTGCCGCAAAGCAAGTGAGGCAAACCAAAAGACAGATATACACAGATGTACTTCGGGTCATTTTGCGATTCGTTCAGTAGCGGTCGATAAACCGAATAGTTATAACACACGAATAAACTTTCGAATCATTACATTCAGCCTTATATCCACGCGACTGCGATACGAAATGAGTTCGATTATACAAGAACTGGAGTAAGAGTCCTTATTTTTCTTTCTTACCCCGCGCGCTCTTGAAAGATAAGAGGTAATGTAAACATATATTTGAGAAACGTGTGTATATGTATCGTGTTGCTTGTGCAATGGGATTGTACAATAATTTCAGCGCTCATGTCGATAATCCATTTCTAAACAACAATAAAGTATAATTAAGTCTCAAGGCTTCGTTACGGTAAAAATTTTTGTCGAGTTATATGTCGGATAATGATGGAGTAAAAATGATTTATATGTGAAGAGAGACAGAGAAAGCGAAGGCAAATATATACATATGTAATGATTACGAGCTACCTTCATAGTCATTAACTTGTCCTAATTCGCGAGTCATTCCCGAATGCAGAATATCTCAATCAAGATAAAAATATGAGTTTCTCAGTTTGATAGTCTTGACTGCTCAAGGACTTTTGAATCTGAGATAGAAATGTCGCAAGCGGCAATAAAAGTTATAAGGATTCAGTAAAATTCTTATAAAATAATTTTAGCTTAATATTTGACATAGATATAGAATATCTATGTATAATATATTAAGCTGCTCTTTCTCCTATTTCATTTGCAATTTATTTAATAATTCTTATTTAAAATTCATCCTATTCTCTTTCCATAAACCATGTTAGGAACAGTTTACAGACGGATTTCCCATGCTCGAGATAAAATACAATGATTCATATTAATCACATATAGATATCGATGCACTGATAACGATTATTTTGACGGCTTTATGTACTCTGATAAAAATGGTGTTATTGGTTATTTTCAGATATACTCTGTTCAACGAGAGATCTACCCTTAAGGTGCCTGCTATTCGCATAAGGACGGCATAGGGAGACAAAGAGAGACAGAGATATATACAGTAAGTAAATACGACACGTATTAGCAAACTGCATATAGCAATACAATACTGGGGAGTTTTTGTGAGAGATCTGCACAAAACGGACGAGTTTTCGGGTCTGTGTTTTCTTTTGCACAAAACTCACAGTATCTTTTATTACATGTAGTTTTGTGTCATTTTTGCAGTACATTAAAATGGCAATAGGAATGAGAGTCAAAATTGTCTTCATATGTTGATCTACTTCTGTTTGTAAAAATATTACGTAATAAAACGTGTACAGCTTTTACATTAACAAAATTTTCCGATATAACATGAATATTTTGGAATTATCGCACAAGTGCTATTTTTTTTTGTGTATTATATTTTTAAAAACGTGACTTTCTCCAAGAATTTTACGCGCCGGCTGATAACCAGATAAGACGATTTATGCTACTTTAAGTGATCGACTTTTTAATACGATCTATCATATTAACGCCTCGAGAATGTCTCATAAAAGTGCACCCTGCCGTAAAACTCTCTCTAAGACTTACAATTAGCTAATGCGTTTTCAGACTTTCCGGAGAAGATTCCGTTCTCCGGAGACGCGGGAAAAGCCGTCCATTACGGTTGCGAATTTAATTCTAACCAGTTACGGTTTGTTAGCAAAAATACGCTAAGAATATAAGTCGACAATATTGGTTAAAGTAATTCCATTTACGACTACTTTAGATTATCAGTGAACTCAATTGCGCTCGTAAAATAAGAGTACTTATAAACACAAATGTGATAGGGAGGATATAGACTCTTGCTTCCTCAGGACGAATTTCAAATAGCGCGAACGTAGTTCTCGTTTTATATACGTTTCAAATGATATTAGACGGTGCAGTTGTTTGATAAAATATTGACGGAAATTTCTGTATACACACGTACATATAGGAAACGTCAATAGGGGAAAAAAGCAAACTGGGCGCGATGAAAATTACACGGTCGGTGAGTTTCAAAATAAAGCGAGAAAAGAGGAATGAAAAATTTTTATTTGAAAAAGGAAGGATTATCATGAAACGAATGTAATTTCGCGGAAATACATTTCGGGGATAATCTCGTGCATCAATCGTGAGAAAGTCACTTGGGTAATCATTACAAGGACGACGAAAATACTTAATGGAGAAAAAGATGAAGTGACAGAATCGCGAAATCGCGCGTGAATATGGTGATCCGTTCGTCAAAAGTGTGCCGAGAATGGCAAATGCCTGGGGGAATTTTTTTTTTTATATTCCGTCGCATTCTCTTCTGTCTTCCGTGCAGAATTTTAAAGCTCTTCTATACGTCATAAAAAAACGTATGTGCTTTGGCTATCAATCACGGGCGGAACGCGCGTAGAGGCGCGGGTAAGAAAGTCGCGTGATTGTTAACAGTAGTGTGTAAATCTTTTAAATGCGTTTGTTCTCTCCGATAAGATCGTCGCGACGCGACGAACAAATTTCATTTGCCACACGGGATCTTCTCTAATCTTCGTCTTTCGACGCCCGACCGACGATAATCCACCAGAAGTTTATCGCGACCGGCCTTTGCAAAAAGTCGAACGCTTGCTTCCTTTCTTAAAGGCTAGATATTGCGCATAGTTGCTGACTAAGGATACTTATCCGTTTCCTTTTCTGTTCCCTCTAGGAAATTACAGGACTTTTCTTTTGTCGCGTTTGCGTGTGGAATGAAACGGTAAATGTTCCTCCTTTCTTTCACGTTATCTTCGCTTATCCAACTTTGTCCAAAAAAAGAATGCAAGTGAGCTATCTTTAAAATTTTTCTCATAAAATAGATCTATATTATTAGTATGAAATTTAAATAAAATTCATATAAATTCAAATAAATTCATGTAAAAATTCAAATTTCTTCTTTCTATCACTCTTTCTCTCTCTTTTTCTCTCTGTTTCTCTCTTTGTTTATGGTACAAATTTCTAATTAATTATATGTACTTTGAATTAATAATTTATTATTTATTTTAGATTTAAAAATATATATATATATTTTATAAAATAAATGTTTGCAAAGAAATATGATATTATGTATGAATCGAAATGATTTAGCGAAATTTACGAAAAGAATCAATTAGTTATCTGAAACTCCATCGAAACGATTAAAAAGTAACTGCAAGACACAATACGGTGTATTGATTTCGCTCCATAAATGTATAGCGCTTTAATACGAGGGTTCACTCGAGTTGCCAGATGTTCTCCGATTCAGCCGCCAGCTTCTTTCTCTCATCCTCGGAGTATTTTTGCCGACCGCATTATCGATATTTGCATTTTTATCGAAAGAAAACCTCAGCGGCCATCAAGGCATTCGAGAAAATCGATAGCAGCTATTAATCACTTGTACTTCGCGAATTCTTTTTGCGCGAAATACGATTTAATAAGCGTGCAACAGCTTTAAAGTAGTCAGCTGTTGCTCTTTCGCTTTTCTCTTTCGCTTCCTCTTTTTGTCGCTCTCTTTTACCTTTTAATAAGATATAAGTTATAGTATATATATATATTTTAATTTATAGCATATGATCTCTAAAATCATATTTTATTATTTAGAAGTTATGAGAAAAAAAGTCACGGAAATGTCATTCTTTTAAAATAAATATGTGTTGATAAAACATGAAGTGAAGCTTGTTTTCACGCATCTATAATATCGTCGATATAGTGATTTCTTTACTTTTTCTGTATTTCTATTTTTTTATACGTTCCCGACATTTTTCTAAACGTTTCTGCCAAACTGCAGAAATTTTTATACAGAAATCATCAAAGAAATAACGGAGGATACCGTTTTCCTTGAAACTCAGAACCGCGTAATCAGCTCCTCATGTTCGCGCGCGAGTTTTCCTCTCGAGAATTCCTAGTTTCGCAGAGTTTCTCCTTCGACCGCGCTGTCTTTTGAAATTAAGAGCGGACGGATTTACAAAAGAGCGCTGTGCGGTACAAAGTTTATGGGTTTATCGGACAACGTACGCGTCGTCCTTTGTTACAGCTTTTACCGTAAGATTTCCAGCTTCGTTTATTTTTTTTTTGCACAGGCAACAGACACGTGCAGAATTCTTTTGACGTTCTCATTATCTGGTTACAAGCATAACCTCGAAAAAATTGTCTACGGATTGGCCATTAAATCGATATAACCTTCTCGCGGCTACCTAAGCCCGTTACGATTTCGTCAAGGAAACGTAATGCGACAATCTTCTATCACTCAACGCTATTAAAATAAACGTACTCAAGTCATTGCTGACGTTTCTTGTTCAAACGACGATATCATTGTTCAAATGATATCGTCGGGTTCATAAAAATCTGTCAATAACACGAGATTAAGTTCGTAAATCATCGGATGACATTATATTATAAGATAAAGTTGCTGCATGTGTAGGTACTGGATATAAATGAATATGGGAAAGTAAAAATATAAATGTAAAATTATAAACGTATATAAAAGTAAAATATAAACTCATATAAAAAAATATCATATAAAAATCATTTCAGCATTCAATACATGTCGAAATCGATCGCTGATATTTCAAGCCGATGCGACAAAAAAAATGTTTAATATATTGATATTTTATTCTCTAAGCGAAAATTTATATCGCGAAATGCGTAAAAAAATGCATGAAAAAAATGCAAAAAAAAAAATTAATACTAACGAGATATATATAAATTTTGCCTACATTTTGCGGTATATTAATTGCTGCGAAATATTGAACTTTTCGTCGTCGTTTTCTAATTACATCGTAATGATCGTATAATTTTATGTGGAGGTACTTAGTTGTATGAAGTTGGTCCCCCTTCCACTACTGAAAATCCACTAACAACCATTACCATTACTTGATTTGAACGACTCGGTGGTCGTTTGGTAGTATTTGGTAGTCCATTCCCGATGAACGGTAGTCAAAGTTGTAAATAAAAATATGAAAAAAAGATATACACGCGTGAAGTTAGCCTCTCCTTTCGCAAAATATGGCTTTTCAGACTGTAAGTAATCATAACTTTAAGCATTCATTTGATGGTTGTTTATTAACGTTTGGTAGTCCATTCTCGATGAATGGTAGTCAAAGTTGTAAGTTCACGCGCGTATGTCTTTTTTCATATTATTATTTATAATTTTGACTACCAATCATCGAGAATGGACCACCAAAAATT